GAGTAGCTGCTGTAACTTCTGGGAAGATAGCGGAAGCAGGTATGGAAATCTAGATTTTGAAAGCAAGGTAGAGGCTGAATGAAGATCTAGATTTTGGAGCCATTTAAATACAGTTTGAGGGAGGATGGGTGTAGCATCTGGAGTGCATGCCGACGATAGCCAGGGCCCTGGGTTTGATCCCAAGAACGTGTGTGTGTGTGTGTGTGTGTGTGTGTGTGTGTATAATATGTGTATACTATATATATATATAGTCACACACATATATTATATATGATGCAGGAATTAAAATTCCTGCTGCAAATGGGCATAGGAACCTTTTCTAAGAGTGATGAAATGCTTGATTTCTTGATAATGCTGGTGGTTATAAAGGAATGTATATATCTCAAAACAGACCAAACTAGTATATTTAAAATGAGTATATTTTGTTGAATTTTAAATCCCTGTAAAAAAGCACTAAAAAGAGCAGAAGTGGAATTCCTTATATAATATAGCAAGTACTAAATAAATTATTTAAAAATTGTTAATCAATTGACTTAGAAAATCCCCCAGGAAACTGCTGTGCATGTACCAGGTATAAACATGCTTTGCCGTAGTCTGCCATAGTCCTAGTTGTTTCAGAAGCCAAGGCTGGATGTGCCAGTTCACTAGCCATTTGGGGGAGCCTGCCTTGGGGGAACTCATCCTGCCTCCATCCTTGGCCCACCCTTCTTCAGCCCAAGCTTCTCTGCCCAGTAGCATATTGTCGACTTTCCCATTTGGAGCAGCTGAGACAATGAAGGTACTTGAAGAATATAACATGACTCATCTCTGAGTAACAACAAAAATCTTTTCTTATTGATTGATTTTAGGCTTATGGCCAATGCAGTGTCCTCATTTGGCACACTTCCCTCAACATCACTTCCGAACTGTCCTTTCAGTGCTCAGCTTAAAACCTACTTTGTACAGGAAACCATTTGTAAGTTGATAGAACAAGGTGAAACCTGATACTTCCATTCAGCTACCAGTATGGACAAGTGACTTTGAGTAATCACCAACTTTTTGTGTTTGTTTTGGGATCTCAGTTCTGTCATTTGCTAAGTCTTTGTGACCTTGAAGGAAGTAGGGATAATGAAACCTAGCCGGTAGAATGCTGTAGACTGAGTCAGCTACCATAAGTGGAAATGACACTGAACAGCAGCTTGGTAAACACATGGCTATGCTTTCTGAGCATTCTTTCTTTGTTTTGCAAGCACCCACCCTCACAAACCCCACATAATCTCAGGAGAACTGCAGAATGATGTTTAGGAAGTGTGCAGGTCAAGGATAAAGTTGGAAAAGATTTATGCAATAAACATGCAGATGAGAAGAAATTGTTCTCAGGAGATGGGAAAAATGAATTGGATTCAGAGGTGGTGGCAAAGGTCTTTCTTTGCATTTCCTTTTTTCATTCATTTAAAATTGTATTTTGGCAAAAGGAGGGGACAGAAGGTCTCGTCTTGATGAATGTGGAGCTGCAAAACTCTGTGCCAGTACACCTGGTATTTCTTCATGGCAGCTGGGAGAGGAGCTTGGTTCTCAGAGTTTTACTGCTGTGGTTTCCTGGGCTGGGCAGCTGGGTGCCTAATAGTGATAAAAACCATAATAATACTTCATAATTATGTACTGCCCTCTGCCAGACTTGTATTTAATGACAAAGACTACGACAGAACTGGCAACAGCTTGTTCCCTGTTGGGGTGCAATACCCAAGGGCCTGGAAATAGAGAGTGAGGTGGCAGCGACTGCAGCCTCCTACAGGGCCTGTCCTGGCAACTCACCCAAGTTCTTTGGGTTTGAGGCTCACCATGTGAAACAAAGAGTACTTTTAAATTGCCCGCATGTACTTGGCACTGCAGTACTTTTGAAGCAAATGCTGTCACACATGGAGTACAACATCATGGAATCTCAGGCCGAGAAAGTACTGAACCAGGTGATGTCATTCATAGTCCTGTCTTCCATGGCCAAATGTCACTGCTACCACACTCAGTTAGGGGAGGTTACTGACCTGGCCTTCTGATTTGGGCTGGGGCTGCTTTTGTGGTAAGCCAGCGACTCACCAATTCACTTAGCACTCACCTGTGAGTGAGCACCTGTTCTGAGCACTGTCCAGGCACAAAAACTGCATGACATTATTCTTGCTGGACACGGTAGCTCACACCCATAATCTCAGCACTTGAGAGGATGAGACAGGAGGTCCATCACAAATTTCAAAAAACAGGAAAAAAAATAAAAATAAAAGCAAACCCACCACCACCAAAAACCAAACCAAACCAAATGAAACCAAACAAAATCTCGAATGTCCCGTATGATTCTGAGCTGAGGAGTAAATAGTCGATCATCTATGTAGAGGACTTTTATTTAAGCACCAACAATAAAAATCTCTCAGCAGGTGAAAGAGTATGACACCAAGACCAGGTGAAAATAGCCAAGGCAGTCCTTCTGAAGACAACAGAAGCAAGAGGTAGGCAAGGCAACTGCAGAGAAGAACTAGTCAGCAAGCCCAGAGGTCCTGCTAGGCCTCTCTTGTTTTAGGTTTGGTAATGCCTATCACGCCAGGCTTATGTAGTTATTAATTTACTCGTAGATGTTTGTCTTACCCCATTCAGCAACTTTGTCAGTTTTGTTGCCCATTAAAATCTTGAGCTAATACTAAAATGCTCAATAAATATTGGTCTGATGATTAAATGGCACAAACAAGGAAGTGAGCGTGGCAATGGAGAGAGGGCATTTAGTAAATATAGTCAGCCTAACACCATAAGAAGTAGGAGTGTATTGGTTGGGTCTATGTCAGTACAATAATCAACGTGTGAAGGGAACAAGTTTATTCTGGCTCAGTTCTGGAGGTTCCAGTCCTGATCTGGTAGGCTTATTCTTTATAGGCCTCTCAAGGGGTGAAGGGCAAGCGCACTGAGGCATGTTCCTGTTTGTTTTCTGTCACTGTGAAAAACATTGTGACCAAAAGCAACTCGGGGAGGAAAGGGTTTCTTTACTCTTACAGTGTACAGCTCATCATCAAGGGAAGCTGGGGCAGGCACTCAAGAAGGAATTGAAGCAAGAAGAACAAATGGAAGCTACCTACTGGCTTCCTCCTCTGCTCACTTGCAGCAACTCATCTCTCTAATACAGTTTAGGCCACTGTCCAGGGAATGCACTGCAAACAGTGGTTGGGCCCTCCTATGCCAATTAGCAATCAAGAAAATACTGACTGACATGTCTGTGAGCCAATCTGATCAAGGCAGCCCTCCATTTGCGATTCCCCTCAGATAACTCTGAGGTGTGTCAGACAGGTTGACAGCTGAAGTCAACTGGAAGCTAAGGGCAGGGCCGCAGAACAAAACCTCTCACCTCATGGACGAGAAAAGAAACAGAGAGAAGGGGGTGGGTCTCACAACCCACCGTGAGAGTACCCTCCCCCCCCATGACCTATTCCCACTAACCTCTCTGTCTTTTAAAGGTTCCATCACCTTCATGACAGGGTCCAAGAGTAACAACACCCCAGACCTAAACTACAGCAGAGAGGGAGATGCTGGAGCAGTGAGAAAATGGATGGAGGATTACTCTCAGGTTCCAGGGGCTCTGGGGAGGGAGTTAATGTGCTACTATAAAACAATAGAAGGAAAAGAGGAGCAGGCTTTGTGAACTTCAGAAAGCATGCGATCTGATGTGGGTATATAACTCCAATAGACAAGCGAAGTGTCTGAGAGCTGCCGTTAAGAAAGATAGGGTGGGGGTTGAAAAGAATCTAAGTAATGCCTTCAAGAAAAATGTAGTCTGCAGGCTCCACTGCAAGACATTGAAGACTAGGACCACCACTAAGTAGTGGCGAGCTTGGGCTACAGTGAGTTCCAAGTCATCCTAGGCTATAGAATGAGACTGTTTCAGACAAACAGAACTCGAAAGTGACCCTGGCACTTGGATATCTGGTGTCACTGGAAGTGGGCCGCCTTCAGTCGATTCACAGGGAGAACAGAATGAATTTGAATCATCAGGTAAACAGGAGAGCAAGTCTTTCTGTTTGAGCATTGGAAACAGTGCTTAGGTATGTCTAAGAATAAGTGGTCGGTTAGTTTACGAATAGTGACCAAGTTTCTAAAGGGCCAGCTGAGGAGCCTCGCGGGCATCCCAATCCCCCAGATACACCCTCTCTGTCCTTGCAGCCATTCCGATGGCGGGGGCGAGCCATATAAAATGCAGGAAAAAAAAAAAAGGGGGAGCTACAAACACCCCTCCCCTCGTGGATGAGTCATCTCCGTGGCAGCTGAGAGGCTGGATGGGAAGCGTTGAATTCAATGAGGTGCCCGGTTTCCCGTGAATATTGGGATTCAGTGACTTGGATGGCTCCATGCTGGAGGGAGCTGGGGAGGCTCATTCACATTTTCCTACCCGGCACTCGCAACCTCCATTCAGCATTTTCCTCTCAGTCGCCCTAACGGAGCAAAGGAACAAAGCTACTCCCCACCCGCAATTCAGGCTGACCTCCCACCCGGGCGCCCACCGCTAGCCTTTTCCGCGCCCACGTGACCCTCGCCAGCCTCCCAGGCTCGCCGCCCTCGCCCCCTCCCCTGGAGCCCTCGCCGGCTTCACCCCGCCCATCGCGCCCACGTGACAGGCTCTCTCCCACCTGACTGGCTCCTCCCTTTTCGGCCGAACCCCGCCGCTGTCGCAGCTGCCCGACTCCAAAATGGCAGCCGCGCACAGCACGCACCAGCGCGGCCGGATCTCCTTGACTCGCCGGCCTCAGCTCTCTGGTTCCCAGCCTCCCTCCTCGGGCCTTCGCCTGTCCGCCTCTGGATTGGCCGCCGGGAATCCCGCCCCTCCAGAGCCCCGCCCGCCATTGGTCACGGTAGGCTGCCCTTCAGAGAGGCGTGGCCCCGCCCGCCCCCCGCCCCGGGAGGTATTTTCCATTCCGGTGGGGGGTTGGGGGGCGGGGGGAGGGGAGCGGGTGCCGAGGGGGAGGCGGCCGGGAAGGGGTGGGGGCTGGCGGGGGCATCCGGCCGAGCTGGGGTCCCCGGGCTCTGTCCGGAGGAAGCGAGGCTGCGCCGGCTGGCCGGGAGCAGAGGACGGGACGCGCGCGGGCGGGCGGGCAGACTCGCCCTGTCGCTCCCGGCGCTGCCCCGGCTCGTCCTGCCTGGCCGCAGGTGCCCTGGATGAGGCCGCCCGGCGTGCCCCGGCCGCCGACTGTCCCCGCGGGCGCCCAGCCTCTCCTTGCCCCGGTCCCCGCGCCGGGCGCAGTCCTCCTCGGGCCAGCGCCTCCGCACCTCGGCGCAGGCGGCACGGCCCTTGGGCCGGGATGGATCGGCCGGCGAGAGGAAGACAAGCCGGGGCATTGAGCCCCTGCGCCCGGTACCGCGCGTAGTGGGAGCTTGCGCGCAGTAGGCTCGCGGTACGTTTCGGGGGAATTGCGTTTCGGTGGGAGTCTGGACACCTAAGGGGAAGAAGGGGTCGTCACGGGCTGATAGGAGGGCATTCGTCTTCGGGGTCGTGGCGGGTCGGGGCTGGGTGGGGAAGGTCGTCGGGCACCCACTGCAAGGGTAGCGGGGACCAGCCAGTTCACCTGAAGCCCCAGAGCTCCGACCTGAGGGTCCTCAAGGTCGACGAGCAAAGGTCTACCGAGAGATGAGGACTGGAGAGCGTGGATGCGGGGAGCGGCTGGAGCATCTCCGGGGGTTTAACCTGGGGTGGTTAGTGCAGGATTCGGGGGCGGCCGAAAGGAAGACCCCGCTCCAAGTCCTTGGGCTTTCAGGACGTGGTTCTTTGGTCCTGGGTTTGGGCATCCGAGTAGCTGAAGCGGAGTGACTTTCATTGACAGAAGGATGCTAAGAAACAGCTTAAGTACATCTTGGTTTGGTTCTCAACTTTGAAGGCTTGGGAATCAGTCACGAGGTTTTGACATTTTATTTTGGCGTTCCAAGCAAAAGGTGGCTCTCTACTGGACTTTGTCAGTGAATCCTTATTTTAAATTGTATGTATATATTTGATGGGTTTTGGCAGTTACCAGTTTTCCTGGACATTCTTCAAACTGCTCCTTGAAATTCTTGTAGCAGCTTCTCCATCTACAGTGGAGGCTTGCTTCTTTCAAAGTTAACATTGGTCTGGACTATACTATTATAATTTACTGACATTTATCCTAGAAGACTAATAAGTCATGCTTGCTTTTAACTGTTTCTTCACAAGGCCATGTAAAATTGAACTGCATGTTCTATAGAAGTTTAAAAATGGTCTCTCTTTAAGTATTGAATGAGAAAGATGTTGGTGTTAGAAAGCAGTGTAAATTCAGCTTGAGTGTCTCACAGTTGGGAATTTTAGTCAGATGCGTACTTTAATCTTAATAGTCTCGTATTCATAGTCCTTTTTTGAGACTGGCTTAGCAACGGAAGCGAGACACACAGGCACGAGGCAATGGCTGTTGTCCAGAGTTCACCTTTGTGGCTGTCCTGCAGGGATAGTACCTTTTTCATTTCCATGGAATAGACTTAAGAATTGCACAGCTAGTCTTTAATACCTTTTAAAAGTCAACATCTTTATTACTAATTCCATACATTTGTTGAGTTCTCTCAGGTTTACAAAATGAGAACTCATTTGACTAGAGAATACTTAAAATTTAGGAGAAAAAAAACCTGGAGCATAGTTGCCTGGCAAATTCAGACATTTCTGCAAAAAGGTGCTAATGTTTTAAATTAGTCTTTTGAGTTCTTGAATAAGAAATGGGTAATTATATATTTTTCTCCTTATTGTCCTTGAATTTTACTATTGCCCTTAGTGAGGATGTACTGGCATACAAAACAGCAGCTTAAAATATTGAAACCCGACACCTTTTAACATTATAATGGCTTCTACATCATTCACCTTGAGAATCATCTATGGCAGACCAGCAAGGGAAGGGGGGTTCCCTTTCACCTTGTTGGGAGTGGGCTGTTTTCCTACTATTGTGAGCCTAAAGCAAAACAGTTTGCTGGCTGGGAAGTAATGGTGATAACTTACACAAAATGAGAATGAGAGGCTTGGAGAAAAGATGCCGATGAGTCATTTCTTTCAGAGCTGGAAGAGTAGAAGGTGGAGATGATTATTCTGTACATTAAGAATCAAGGCCTGGAGCTTTTGAAGGGACTAAATTGCTAGTTGCTCTTGGAGCCAGAAGTGGGGGGGCCTGACTGGAGCGGTGTTCGGTTATTTTTCTACGTTCTCACATCCATACCGTTTGTTTCTGAGCCTTCTAGTGCCAACTGCAAATAATTTTTGACTATTTGCAGTACTCTTCCTTTCTAATGGTGGAGAATTTTGAATGCTTTATACATGAAATGATGCAAAACTGCATATGCTTTTAAGTTAAAAACAATGTGCTGCATTATTAGTGAAAATGCTAATAATTTTCTCTCATTGTAGAGACAAAACTGTCATCTAGATTAAAATATTAGATGAGCATTTTAGGTTAAGCTAGTGTTCTATTTTTGTGCCAAAAATAATTGAAGCTTTTAGAATTCAGAAGAGTTTTTGTAATTTTAAGTGAGTTGTGTGAAAATTTCTAATTGTGGGGATTTTCTTATGTTGAAGTGTATCTCAGTTCCTTTAAAAGGAAGTAAAAATTACATAATTATGAAACATAATTTATACCATAGTTGTTACAGAGACAGGAGTTGTATTTCAGCCACTTAATGGGAAGCTGCCCTGGCGGGATGCGGTACAGCAGTAATCAGTAATCATTCGGGAGGTAGAGAGAGGGTAGGTTAAGTGCTGGCCAGGGGCTACTTTTATGTGGTTCAAGGACAGCCAGGGTCACATAGTAAAATCCTGTCTCAAAAAAAAAAAAAAAAAAAAAAAGGAAATTCTTACCTTTTGGCATATCGGTGAGGATTAACAGTGCCTAGCACATAGAAAGGGCACAGTAAGTATTAGACTATATTTTCTGTGTTTCATTAGGCTTAATTAGGATGTATGCTCCTTTATCCTCTTGCTGTGAATACGTTCTTTCAGGCCATCAAAAAATCCTAGATAAATACACAAATCAAATAATTATTGTCTTAATGGCCAGTTAGTGGAAATGGCATGCTTATGGCTTTTGTTCTGCCTCTACTTACCACTGGCTTTAATTGGCTCTGTGTATCAAGGTAGAGTTAATGTATATGTTTCTCTGAATGATGGGGAACATACTGCTACCCCCAGAGTCTGTGCCTTTGCCATGGTTCCAGTTGACTCTTCCCAGTGGCAGGGCGCATAGAGAGTAGCTCTGAAAGGCTGTCCTTATGTGGGGAAGAAATGTATCTCTCTGTAAAGAAAATCAAATCATGAAATAGTTTCCTTAGAGCTCCTTTATCTGTCATATCTGGATCTAGGGGAGAATGGATGAACCCATCCACCTTTCCCCAAATTACTACAGGGTGTCACATACTCCAACGATGTCACATGGTCTTTTGGGACTCATTGGAAATACTTTTTGTCTGTTTGAGACAAAAATCTTTTTTCTGAAATTTCCTCCATTCACCCTCCCATAACCTGTGACCCTTATCGCTGGTTTCTTAAGCCCCTGTTCCCTTCTGTCATTCAAAATTGTAAACTCCCATGCTGATCTCTGGTCCCCAGTGTTGACTGTGTAGTCTAGAGCCTCAAGCATGCCAGGCCAGCAGCACTCTACCAATGAGCTATATTCTCAGTTCGGGCCCTTTTTTGAGCCTTTTGTGTGGCACCCAGGGATGCAAGTTATAAATTTGCGCACCATTCCTGTTGCTCATTTGTGTATTGCCATTTTTAAAAATAGACCCCAATAGCAAACACTGGGTTGGGAGGAAAATTCCCTTTCCCCTGTGTCTCCAAGAAACCCTCGTTCCAGTCTCATTACTCTAGAATGAAAGAATGCTGATGAAAATAAAGAGTTCTCAATCATTAGCTTAGATAGGGAAATCAAGAGTTTATAAGGTCTGTTACTGACTGTAACTATTTTGTGATAATGGAACCATGTAAAAGAGTCATTGAATCCTGTTTTCTGTAAGTTAATTTCTCATCAGTATTTTACTGTATGCATGTATGTGCGTGTGTATGTGAGCAGGTGCATTGGTTAGAGGACAGTTCGTAGGCGTCACCTCTTTCCTATTGTGTAGGTTCTGGGAGTCAAGCTTAAGCTGTCAGGCTTGGCACCACAAGTGCCATTAGCTACTGAGCCATCTCACTAGCCTTATTAATTGAAATTTTTTATCCCTTTATTTATTAAACTGCTAGGTTTTAGCAATTTATGTAACTCCAACTTTAAAACATAAATTCTTTTAATTTGCTGTAACTCAGGTCCAGCTAGTGTTATGACCATGTGGTTTAGCAGACGTTTCAGGTGGTGAGAGTCAGTAGCTTCTGTTAGCAGGATCTAAGAGTCACCTAGAACCATCGAAAGTTGCTAGGGTTATATTTGTCTTGAACGTCTGTAGAATTTTAACATTTGGAAAATGACCAACTTCTAATCTTTTGAATATTATAAAGATAGCAGTGTTATCACAGTTTATAGGATACTTGTTGGATTTATGACATACTGAGATTCTATAGAAACAAAACAGGTTTTCTTGGGGCCTATTATATAATCTTGCATTCTAATTATATGAATTTATTATTTAGCTAAATATGATTTTAGAAGGCTTCAAAAATACTGTTACCAAAGTATAATAGGCACTAGGTCAGTTTTTCCCCATTAGATTGGAGAGAGAGTTTGTGTCTGTGTGTGTGTCTGTGTCTGTCTGTCTGTGTCTGTCACCAAATAGTAAAAATGTGTGACATTGAGAGTGGCCTGTCATTTGGGGTACAAGGGCTGAGTAGACCATACAGAATGCTTTTGCAGCTTCATTCTAGTTGTTCGAGAATTCAAGGGACGGGATAAAACATAAATTCTTTGTCTGCATTGGCCAGTTATTTTATTTTTAAGAGGAGAAAGGACCTTTAGATCTGTTTAGAGCAGAAGTAATCTTGGAAGGATAATTAGGCTAGACTGTTGGCTCATACTAATAATGAATAAACTTTACTTGGATAGTTTAAGGAAAATTAGTTACCTGCTTTGATGTGTAGGTGAACAATTCAAATAAATGATTGGAAAGAGACCATAATGCCATTATTCCATTTCCACACATTCGTATAAGCATTTTAACACCGTGGGGAACCAAAATATGCCACCCTAAAATACACTTCCTTGGCATATTTAGAAAAACTGTTGACACTGAAATAGTTTTAAAGAACTGTTTTTTTGTTTTTGTTTCTGTTTTTTTTTTGTAGAAGAAATTTTCATCAATAAAAGAAATCTACACTAGTGAACAGCAGTACGAGCAAGTCTTGATGAGCCTCCCTTATCTCCTTTCAGGAGGATCTAGGAAAAGATCGTATCGAGGAAGAGAGATTAGAGGGCTACACCTCACT